AGGAGCTGTGGCTGCAGGGCCAGCTGTCCCCACACTCTGGTTAATAAAGTCAGGGGGATGTCTGGTTTTTCTATGATTAAAAAAAACCAAAAGCAAACACTAAAGCATATAGAAGTTTAGAATTAATTTTATGATGATGATCAAGGTGCACCGATACATTGGTCCAATATCGGATAGGCACAGATGCAATCCATTTTCTTTATATCGGAAATTGGCCTGATGTTGCTGATAATTGGCCCGATAAATGCCCGTGCATACATGCAGCCATAGCACAGCACAGCACGTGGGTGGTGAGGAGCACAGCCTGACAGCTTGGAGAGTTGTGTGCAGCTGCTAAGTCTGTTGTGGTGGACTGGGAGTGGGGAGGGAAGTGGGGGGGGGGGCAGATCAACTCCTGTGGTGAGGGAGGGAGTGGGGCAGGTGCTGCCCAGCTGGGACGGGGTGTGGGACAGAGCCACAGCTTGTCCAGGGGCATGGGGCTGTGTTCCCAGTGCGTGGGGACTGTGCTTGGGGCAGGTGGCAGTGGTGCTGGGAAAGGGCTACAGCGAAATAGGGTGGCTGCAGGCTTTCTGTGCTGGGAGGATCCTGGTGCAACTTGCAGCTGCAGCCTACTCCCCACAGATCCAGGGTACCACCCCCACTCCTGGCTGTGCCCTCCGGGGTGCCCACAGCAATGGAGCCATACCTTCTCTGTCCCATAACCTGGCCTGCCCTGGCTAAGCAGCACCTGCTCCAGCTCCAGCCCCACTTCTCCCTCACCTCAGGGACCTTGATCTGCCCCTCCACCCCTTCCCTTCTTCCTCTCCATCCACTACAACAGACTTATCAATTGCATGCAGCTGTATTGGAAATCAGATCAGTATCTGCCGATATGCCTCCTTAAAAATTGGCTTTCGGTATTGGTGTCAGTGTACCCCTAATAGAGACACTGGTAGGCTTGCAAATTTATTTTAAAATTGTAAATATATCAATAAAACATTGCCCAACTGATCTCTCTCTCTCTCTCTCTCTTTTTCTAGTGGTGTTTCATTTTAATCATGGAAGAACATGGATTTCTGGCACCAGGGATCCAGCTGGAGGCCAAATGAGGTGGCTGACCTGGCCATTTGGGGCCAGGAGGACACGCTTTGACAGTTCACAGTGGACCACCACAATGAGCACATCTTCCAGGCGATAGCTGCCCAGATGGCAGGGCAGGGGCACACATGGCAGGAGTGCTGCACAAAGACCAGCTGTGCAGCTACAGCCCAATAGCAGCTGGCCCAGAGGTGCAGACGGCTCTGCTGCAGTGCTCGTACCACATCCCAGGTGGCTGTGTGGTCCCCATCCAGCTCTGGGAGGCATTCAGATGTGGGGCAGCAGGTCCAAGGGGATGGATGCTGTCGCATGTGGCAGGAGGTCACAGCCAGGTAGCAGCCCTCACTGCCAGACTGCTGCAGTGGGTAGAGGGGGCATGTCTCCCCATATATCAACTGGCTGGGCCTCAGAAGCTCCTGAGAGCAAGTAGCCCTGAGCTGTTTGCCAGGGCAGCTTTTTATACTGCTGGGGCCAGTCCTTTCAGCTCCCCGTGGCTGCATCCAGGAGCTGGCTGCATCCAGGAGCGTGGAGAATAAGAAAAGAATGGGTGGGGTGGGGTGAATTGCCAGTGCAGCAGGAATCAGCCCAGCTCAGTTGGTGCGAGTGCGGGAGCTGGAAGCAGCCAGGCAGGTTGTGCTTCTCGCCCCTGCACGCAGCGCTGGCCAGAGCCACCTGCTGGCCACAAGCTCCCTGACCCCCTCCCCCTGGTGCTGCTGGCAGTGGGGGCTGCACACTGTGGGGGAGTCCCCGCACTCTAGCCCCCAACCCCCAC